TTGCGACAGACCGGTCTGATCTCTTTGCTTAATGTGGCACTGAACATCATGCACTGCTTCTCGTGAGGGGTCAGTCTGAAGATATCCTGGACATCCCGTCTCATATCTAATATGCAATCACACACAATTACTCCTCTGGTGAACGGAGAAAAAACCAGCTCCGTAAAGTGGCCCATAAATGACTAAATCAAACCCACCTAGCTGCTCCAGCATCTTGTCGCATTCATCCAACACAAAGTGTTTGACATTTTTGAGGTTCAAGGTCTTGTTGCGAATGAGGGCAAGGATTCTTCCTGGTGTTCCCACTACAATGTGAGGGCAGCTCTTCTTCAGCACTTCCTCATCCTTCTTTATGGACAAACCACCGAAGAAGACAGCACACTTAACGTTGGACATGTACTTGGAGAAGCGCTCGTACTCTTTACTGATCTGAAAGGCCAGTTCACGTGTGTGGCACATAACTAACACAGAAACCTGCAGAGAAGAAAATGACAAAACGGGTGAAAATTTTTGTTGACTTAACATGCATAACTACCACAAGATCTCATAATAGTCTCGATCCAAAGTAGCAGTTTGCAACAACATAAGAAACCACTGCTGGTTATTCAAGTTCTTCAAGTGTGACGATTTAATGCTGAACAGAACTGTTTTCTGAGATCAGTGTCAAGAAAAGTTTGAAACAATGTTAGAACAGCCTAAAACATTCTAGGTTTACTGGTCAGAAGTTTGGAATTAAGAGACTTCTTTCAAAAACAACAATCTTATGCTCTGCAAGGTCGCATTTAAAACAACTTTTTTTAATTGAATATATTTTAAAATGCATCTTATTCCTGTGATGCAAAGCTGAATTTTCAGCATAAATACTCCAGTCTTCAGTGTCAAATGATCCTTCAGAAATCATTCTAATATGCTGATTTGCTGCTCAAGAAACATTTCTTATTATCAATGTTGAAGCAGTTGTTAATGCTTAATTGTTTTTGGAAATGATACAATATCACTTAAAAGTTTGGGTTATGATAAAAATAAAAAAATTATCACTTTTATTCAGCAGAGCAAGAACATAAGAATCCTGAAAATAAAATTCAGCAGCAAAAACTGTTTGCATAACCACGTAACCATAATTATTAACGATTACCATTAATAATAACGAGTAATCAGTGTTCATCATCTGTTTGATTAAGTCTTTAATTGATTTTTCCATACATTTCTGCCATATGTACATTAACTGACAGTCACCACTGATAAGCTACTACTAAATATTGTAGAAACCTAATTTGCTGTAAAGTTGCCTTGCAACGATTTGTATCGTGAAAAGCGCTATACAAATAAACTTGAATTGAAATGAACGAGTACCAATAATAATTAAGCACCAAATCAGACTAACGGAATGATTTCTAAAGGATCATTTGACACTGAAGACTTGAGAAATGGCTGCTGGAAATTTAGCTTTGCCATCACAGGAATAAATTACAAGTAAAAAAAAATGGTTCTCTTACATTTTTATAATTTTTCACAATATTACTTTTACTGTACTTGCGTTAAAATTAATGTAATGACTTCAAAACTTTTGACTGTTAGTGTACAAGCTCACGCCAATTTGGTTTATACAAATAGGAAAGAAAACCATAATGTTGAGTTTGCAAGATCTAGTTTAATGAGCACACACCTGCCCATCCACTGGCTCGATCTGTTGAAGTGTGGCAAGCACAAACACGGCGGTTTTTCCCATACCAGACTTTGCCTGGCACAGGATGTCCATACCCAAGATGGCTTGTGGAATGCACTCATGCTGGACTGAGGAAAGACCATACATTTTACTACTAAACATAAAATCATGTTAATACAATTACACTGAAACCAAGACAGCATGAAAGTGATTCTCTATCTGGTATACATGGTCAACATATTTATGTTTGCACTTTAATACTGATTTAAATGTAAAAGAACAACTAGGTACTTGGATGTTCTGATGTAACTGAATATGCTGGCTATTCATACTCACAAAGCCATTTTAAATAAATCTATACACTGCTGCTCATATAATAGATATACTAATACTAGCTTGATTTTCACACAGCAGTGTACTCTAGAAACCTTAAAAACGTCACATAAATCCTCACCCTCAGAAGGATGCTCAAAGCCACAGTCGACGATCGCGCGGAGCAGCTCTGGTTTCAGGAGGAAATCACGGAAGCCGGAGCTGTGAATGGAGACGTAGGAGCCTTTCACCTCCTTCTTGCCAGCTGGGACTGCACTGTCCACGGCGGTCTGCTGCTCCTCGTCTTCCTCATAGTCCAACAGCTCATTATCAACATCGTTTTCGGCCATGGTAACTTTGGTGACAGGGAAACAAAGATGTAAAAAAGAGAGTTATGCCAAAGATACTGATCAATGTATAAACATGTTCTACTATAATATGTGACCCACGACCACAAAACCATAAGGGTCAATTTTTTTTAAATTGAGATTTATACATCTGAAAGATGGCTAAATAAGCTTTCCACTGATGTATGGTTTGTTAAGATAGGACAATATATGGCTGAGATACAACTATTTGAAAAACTGGAATCTGAGGGTGCAAAAAAAATCTAAATATTGAGAATATCACCTTTAAAGTTGTCCAAAAGAAGTCCTTAGCAATGCATACTACCAATCAAAAATTTAGTTTTGATATATTTACGTTAGGAAATTTACTAAATATCTTCATGAAACATCTTTACTTAATATCCTAATGATTTTTGGCATAAAAGAAAAATCGATAATTTTGACCCATACAATGTATTGTTGGATATTGCTACAAATATACCTGTGCGACTTAAGACTGGTTTTGTGGTCCTGGGTCACATAGGCAAATATAGAATAATTTACACGAAGAAAAAAATAAAATGTACAAAGAGGTCAAAAATGCTGCTCAGTGTTTTGCAACCTAAGCCTTAACTAATGAATGGAAATTATGCAGCATTATTCAAACTCCTCGAAATGATCCATAAATCATCACTTCTATTGCTCTCTTTAAAATATTGGTCTCTGTTCGTAAATCGTACCTAGATGGTGAAAATAGTTAAAGGGCAAAAACATGCATAATACAAGTTGCTATACATGTAACGTTAAAACCAGCTCCGATTGATTTAGCCAATTGACTAAAGTTACCACTCAGACAATAGAGCCGCCATTCGCTGTCCCGTCGAAACCGATCTTCTGATCTAAACGAGTGGTCCAAAACGCATTTTTCCAAAAGTACCTAGAATATATGATTATGAAGTCTCGTGATACACGTGCAGAACGCAATACGAGGCTGTTTGGACGCAAAGCGCTTTCGTTTTCGCATCTCGGCTTTGAGGCTTTCAGGCTGCGCGGCTAGAGAAACGCCAGCTGCCTAACGTTACAACTGTGTTGTTTTTAAATACTTAAGATTCATTACTAAAATGGCCTCTAAAATAAAGTTGAATCCGGAAGTGAGTACTATTAACTATAACGTAGTTAACAAATTAGAGCTATTAAAGGTACGAACAAAACAAATTACCTTTCGATGTTGGTACTGAACGTCGGCACTCGCGAATCGTGAGGGTTAACGTTAGGCCTTAAGTTAATAGCGCTCCCCGGAAATAAAAACCGAGCTCTCTCATTGGTTGTATTCAACGTCAATAATGAGTGCGACGCAAAGCATGCTTGCGATTGGGTAACAGTAATCCGCGTCGATGTTGTGGGCGGGTTCCAAATCCAGTCGCCAGCCTTTATACTTCAAAGTGTCCACACGATGCCACTATATGCATTCTGATTTTAGGCCTACAATGACAAATGTGTAGAAACGGTGCGACCTAAAATCGAAAACCGTATTAAAAATCTAGATCTAAACTCTAAAATCTTTGTTGTCTTGCTTTTTTCAGCATTTGTAATTACCAAGCCATGAAATACTCGGTATTAAAATAAACATCACAGAAAACAAACAGGCTCACGTAATAGATAGATAGAAGAACTGTGGCAACATCTCCAAGAGCTTCAAGAGACCTCCCTGCACAGCTACCTGAAAGAACTATGTGCAGGTGCACCGAGGGCAAAAGCTGCTTTAAACGCAAAGGATGGTCACACCAAAAGTTGATTAATTAATAGTTAACTAGTTAATTTAGTTAATACAAGTTCATTTATAAAGAAAATCTATTTATGGCATTATTTTTGACAGCATCCTCATTTTACAGCATTTTTACACAAGTGCCTAAAACTTTTAACAGTACTGCAGCTTAGCAGGTAGGTTTCTTGAAGCGTCTTGGAGACGTTGCCGCAGTTCTTCTGGATTTAGTCTGTCTCAGTGTGTACTGTTTCTTCATGTCATTATTACGATTAATGTCAAAATGAAGGTTTTGAAATGTAAACTGATATTTCCTACGGATACGCTACAGTAAAAGATAGAAATAACTGACTTAAAGCCATTGTAGCTGGTGAAAATACTAGTGTTCTAATAATTTGGGCTATCACTGTATATATAAAAAAAAGTAAAGTCTGCATATCTATCTATCTATCTATCTATCTATCTATCTATCTATCTATCTATCTATCTATCTATCGTGAAATAAAGAACAATGTGGTCCACCTTCAGAAGATTAACTGGACAAATTTTTCTTAACAGTTACTCCAATCAACACCGCAACATCACCTGCCCGCTACCCACTGTGGCTGAGGTTAAGAAAAATAACGGATTGGTGGAATGAGCTGTCAATCATGACCATTCCTCTAGTTTATCCTCCTATTGGTCGAACGTTTGTCAATCGCATGAGATCCACTGGCGTTAGAACATTGCACTATGGTTCATTTTGAACGAGACCGTCAAATAATCGGAAAACAGAAGCCAATTATGAATTGATTTTCAACGCGTATTTATTATAATACGACAGTTTATGATTATTTATATACCAGCATTTTTATTAAATTACGGTCAAGGTAGTAGGCGGGACTGGGGCGGGGTTTTCTTTTGTAGGCGTCGACCGCTGCTCTCCTTGAGGAAGCTCGCCCCGACGACTCATATTTTCCTCCAAATGAGCATCCACATTCAATATGTCCAAAATGGTTCCGTATTCATTTCCCGACCTACCGTAGTGGGCCAACGGCTTCGCACAGAAAAGGATTGTCGATAGCTGCCGGTTTTGTGACCGATCATCTTTAATATGGCAAGATCGCAGGAGCCGCTTGGGTAATGAGAGCGAAATTCAGGTGGGCATTGCTCTATGCATTTTCCATCACTGCCAGTGTGTGATCGCTGGACCATTATGTGTGTACCATCCATTTGTTTACGACGTTTATTTTACCGTGTTAATCGGGATGATATGACAGAGAGGCAGTCTGGGACAAAGCGGGGAAATTCCAGCGCATCGCACTCATGCTCCCATCTCTCTTGACCAGCGGCGGTGATTTGCCTGCTTGCCCATCTGCTTTGCCATGGGGAAAAATCATAATCCACACCCTTATTATTTTACACGGAAACAGATGTGATTATGACCTAATTTAAGGCACCAAAATACACTGTGCTTTTACATTTCAACGCAGCCTTCCTCTATTCCAAAGGCTTTTGCATTTAATGTCATAACGACAACAGTCTTTATCAGGGTTCCTCAAATCTTGCCCTGGAGGGCCAATGCGCTGCACAGTTTAGCTCCAACCCTGATCAAACTCACCTACCTGGGATTTTCTAATGATCCTGAAGACATTGATTAGCTTGCTCATGCGGGTTTGATTAGGGTTAGAGCAAAACTCTGCAGGAAAGTGGATCTCGCGGGCCAGATTTGAGGATCCCTGGTCTATATTTTCAGTTCAATACTGCAAAATGTCACACAAAAAAAGGCTTTTTGCGTAACTGGATATTACTTTTGGTCATTTAACATTTCTATCCTAAAACAGATACTTACATCTTACCTCACATTTACTTTTAAAACTGAAGCCTCACATTGGAATTCATGCTTTGCCACTGTAAACAGTAAAGCCACCTTTTTTTGTGTGCTGAGCTAAAGATGATCACCGGTAAACTGAAGCGCTCTTTTAACTTAACCAAACGCATTCTATATGAGATAAATCAGGTATACATCAAATAAACACAATATTACAATGTACAATTGCACAAAAGGCTGCAAACGAACAGCGCGCATCTGAAGTGTCTCTGAAGGAAATAATGCATTATTTATCGGCTTTAAGATATCGGCCAAATTTTCTTATCAGGCCGATACCGATAACAGAAAAAATGAGCCGATATGGGCCGATACCGATATGGTGGCCGATATATCGTGCATCCCTAGTCATTTAACATTTCTATCCTAAAACAGATACTTACATCTTACCTCACATTTACTTTTAAAACTGAAGCCTCACATTGGAATTCATGCTTTGCCACTGTAAACAGTAAAGCCACCTTTTTTGATTTGATTGGCCATCTCAAGCATTTTGACACTGACAAGCACAGATAAGAGACACAGTTACATTACATCTATGGTAGTTACAGCCCTGCTCTTCGTACACAATCTGACAGTTGTGAACATCTGAGAAGATTGTGATTTGCTTGAGGTCCCAGCTTAACCATTGCTATACTGTTTTGGAGTCAGGCTAGTGTGGTAGATATTACAGTCAAGAAAAGAAAAAAACAAAAGATTAGCTGGAAATGCATATGATCTCTCCAGGTTCAAGTATTGGCTAGTTGGCCATGTTGGTAGTTGTCTTTACTGCACCATTCTGTGGGAAGAAAATTGTCTTTCACTTTTGGCGGCCATTGAAAATCTGTGTATTCTGAGGCAATAGATAGTAATATACATTACAAGTATTTGTATTTTTGCCTTTCTGCTGGTGTCTTGCGGCTGCAGAGTAATTAGTCCAATGGCATTTACAGCTTGGGTGACTGCCGCACAATTTTCCAGAATTTGGCACCCATGAGCGAAGACAGCACATACTTTCCGGGGTTCTGCGCCATTTAGGAAATGTGGAAATATTAACAGATTTTTCCATGTAACTTAAAACTATGGATTTACAATTGTATAAATAAATAGTGGACATTGTTTTTGTTCTAAGGGCTGCACTTTAGTCTTTTTTTTTTTTTTTACGTCAAAATAAACATATTTACGGGTGTGGTAGACTGGTCATGTGAAATGAGAATGTTTAACTGATAAGGTTGCTGTTGTGTTTTCATCAGGACAAACCAGACGTTATGTAGTTCACATGCCCAAGAGAGCCAGAGAGAAAGCCATTATCTGCCCTTTGCAACCTCTTTTACTCGCTGTATCTCTCTTTTCCTTTCTGTATCTGTGTTTAAGTGTTCTGGCATTGTCACACTTTCTCTTGGTTTATAGCTGCTGGCTAACTCCACGTCATCATTTCAAACAGAACAAGGCAAATTTCTACATTGTTTGCAATTTAGCCAACATGGCAGTTATCTTGTGAAGGATGAAGTGCTGTAAATGAATTTCATGATGACTTTGGAGGGTTTGAGTTCAGGATTATTATTAAATTTTTTTGTAGCACGTTTTAGCTATTATCTCAAAATATCAGGGAAAATTTGATTGATGACCCCTTTAATTGACCTTGCGACAGTTTAACTAATTATTACTCTTTTATATGTCTTTGTGTTCATGCCAATCTTTATGAAGTGTCGACTGTCCAACTTCTTGACACACTGAAAAAAACAATTGGTGTAGAAGCAGTTTGCACTCAGAAATTGCTTGTAAATTTGACAGCTGAGTACAAAGAAATGGCAAGTAACGCAATAAATTGAGCGTGAAGTTTTCAAAGACTGAATTAGGATTTTCTTGTAAAACATAATTCAATAATCTGCAATAATACAAGTTTGAAAAATCATTTTACAGTGCCCTTGGGTACATTTTGTCTTACCTTTATATTTAGTGTTTCAGTAACAACCTGATAAAAAAGCTTGTGCTTTCTGTTTTCTGAGTGATAATAAACTGCATTTGAAATAATTTAGCCAACTTGGAAGAAGTAGACCTGCCCTTGAAAAGCTATGGTCGTGGTTAAGTCATTGCTGTCATAATGTCAATTGAGAATATATGCTAATAATACTACTTTATACTAACTAATGTAAACATGGCTGGCTCCTGGGAGTGACACATTATCAGGGTCTCTGAATATGAATAATCTGTTTTCTCATTTTATGGACCAATGTGCCAAGCAAGCCCTCATGATCTTTTTAGCCTCACCTGGTAAGCCATTAGTTATGCAATATTGTCCCTCCTTGTTTTCTCAAACCACTTAACGCAATGAAACATTTGTGCAACAGAGAAGACATGTAATGCAATTCTTCCTCCAATTATTCCAGTGATTGATCATTTATGCCTAGATTAACTGATCATATTGATGATCATATTTAAGATACTTGATTGTTCACCCTAAATTACCATGTCAGCTTTTCAGTCAAGTCTGTGAGTGAGTCATTAGCTGTCTTTGTGAAGGGCAGTTATGGTGAAGAGGGTGTGTTCATGTGCGTCTCTACAAGCTCAATGATTGTGGAATGTCACACAGGGCAGAGGAGCTCCATGATGAAGCTAAAGCTATTGTGTGATGTTTGAGTCATACAGAACAAGTGGTCCACGCCTATGATACATGACGTGGTTTGTTCTAAGATGACTTTGTTTAGAGCTGCGTGTATGTGTTTGTGTATTTAGGTGTGTTTTTGTGTGTATGTCTGCCTGCCTGTGTTACTGATCATCTTAACTTTAAGTTGACACAGAATTAGTGCTGTCAAACGATTAATCGCATCCAATATAAAAGTTTTTCTTTACATAATATATGTATGTGTACTGTGTTTATTTATTATGTATATATTAGGGCTGCACGATAAATCGCATGCGATATTTAATGCGCATCTTGTCAGAAAGCCGGTTCTTTAATCAGCGGTAAATCTCCATCACCTGCGGGCTTTCACATGGAGCAGCATTAACTACACAGAGCCGTTGTTCACTGACGAGCTGCGCAAAAAATTGCGCAAATATGAACGTGGTTTTGCGCAGCTCGTCAGTGAACATCCAAAATAAAAGTTTTTGTTTACATAATATTATGCATGTGTATTGTGTTTATTTATTATATATATATAAATACACACACATTCATTATATATTTTGAAAATATTTACATGTATATAAATGTATATTTTTGTATTATTATATTTTATATTATTATATATAATTCTATTATATATAAATATATTTAATATATAAACATAACGTAACATATTTTTCTTAAATATATATACATGCACTTGTTGGTATTTATTAGAGGTCGACCGATGTATCGGTTTTGTCGATTAATCGGCACCGATAGTTGATTACTGGAACTATCGGTTATCGACAAAAATCCATGCCGATAGTTTTCCGGGTTGCGTCCATTGCTGGAGCGGCTGAGAAGGGTCTGCTGTCATTACACAGTGCGAGAGCAACCTCTAGTGGTTAAAATCACTGACAGCACGTGCTATTTGTTTAGACACGTGATACTGCACGCTGAACAAAGCGGGAAACTTCAGACGCGGATTTAAATGCAGCCGACAGAAAATCCTGCCGCGCCATTCACATAGTTTTCTTTTAAATTACATTATTTTGGTCCCGAATTGTTGTTAATGTACATAATGAATTGTGTATTGTGCATTTTCAGCAAAACGTTTGTCTTTCTGTGGCTCTAATAAAGTCTGTGTGGTTCATTTATAGAGCTATAATATAGGTCACGCATTCTCTTTCCATTTGCTCCGTTTTTTAAACACTGAACTTCAAACTCATCCATGTCAAATTGTTCACTCGTTCACACAAAAGTAAACTTGTGTCCGTTTGGTGATTAAATAAACTGTTTTAGACCGCTGCTCGAGTTGAACGCGACGCGTCCGGACTGTGTGTGATACCGGTGAGTTCTCCTAGACTCAGCGCTGCGCTTTTATTTTGATTAGATAATCATCAAGTGTTCAAGAATAGAAGCAGTTAAAGTGTGAGAGTATACATACAATATCCATATGTATAGAATTTTAATGCTATAGCCTTTGTGTGTATATTTAAAGATGTGCATCTTTAAGCATGACAGTTGAAATTAAATGGTAACACTTTAAAATAAGAGTCCATTTGTAGCATTAAGATGAATGAAAGCTGTGTAAATATTGTTCCTTGTTAGAGTGGGTTAATTTCAACATTTACTATTATTATAATTTTTTTTACTGCTACTGGTGGTTCAGTACTGTTTTT